GAGATGTTTTCAATGATTTTGGAATTATGAAAAATAATAAGATTACATATTTGAAATATATATATATATATATATATCGTAAATGTATAAGCAAAATGTTGTGGATTTGTAAATGTGCTTGTATTGAATGTGTTTTGAAAATTTGAGATCAATCAAGCAATTAGATTGAAGAATATGGAAATTTAATTGAATTAGGGTCTCAAACATTTGGATTTAAGGATCAATGTGTGATTATAAAAAATATGCTTGTTTGATTGAAGTAAAATTTTGTGAGAGCATAGTAGTCTTTGATTTCTATATTTTTTCTAATTTGAGGAGCAATTAAACAATTTAACAAGGAAAGATTGCTGCTAGAAGATTCACATTCAAGTTGAAAAAAGAGGAGGGCCAACATCTAAAAAATTATGAATTCTATTTCTAAATTGATAAGTTAAATTTTTTTCATATTTTGTGTATTTTTTTTGCTTAAAGATTAAAATGTGGAAAAAAAAAATTAGTCAATATTAATGGTTTAATTCATAGAAATTAAGATTTTAAAATTACTATAGGCATTTGATTAGAATTTCATTGGAATTTTATTTGAGTTTTATTACAATCTGATTATGGTTTATTTATAATTTTTTTAGAGTTCTATTAATATTTTAAAAATATTTTATTAATATCTATTTAGATTTGTTTAGAAATACATCAAGATTTTATTAAGATTTATATAAGATTTTTTAGGATTTTTTATTTTATTTTTTAAGGTTTTTTATTAAGTTTTTAATATTTTATTTATATTTATATTTATATATTTATTTAATATTTTATTTAATTATTTATTTAGTATTTTTAAATTTATTTTTAAATTATTTTTATAAATATTTTTAAAATTTATATTTATAATTTAAAATATATATATATATATATATATATGATTTTATTATAATTATTTTTTAAAAAAATATATTTATTTAAAAATTTAATCAATATGTTATTAGGATTTCTAAGGTTTAATTGAAGTTTATTTACAATTCTATTAGAATTGTTAGGACCTTTGTTGTTGCAACTTCTAATTTTATCTTCCACAACCAAGTATGTGGTGCATTTTCTTGTAAGACAACATGTTATATAACATTGGTTGATATATTGAAATCATCACGACCTTCAAGACAACAAAATAAAAATGAAGATTCTCAAGAACAACACTCTTTTTTTTGAATAAATTATGAAATACAACATATTTTATATTACAATTTTAGAAAAGACTTCTAATATTTGGTGATATTATAAGAGGTAGTAACCACCCTTGATGGTGTTTCAAATATTTTATTTGAAGGAAGTTACAAAGACTTCAATAAAAATTAAATATTATGCTAGACTTTTTGTCCTAGTATGAGATAATATCAATGGTTGAGAAGACCTATCAACTATCTTTGAAGGCAACAAAGATCAAAGTACACAACAAATACAATTTGTTGCATCTTAGACTTTCTCAATATGTCATAACTTCTTCTTATAGAACTTGTCTCTAGAAGGGAAGATAATGTCATGGACATACATATTTATCTAAATTAAAAGTATAGTTAGAAGTAAATAGAAGTAAGTAGATTTGATAATATCTTATAGAAAAGCACATGTTAAAAATTTATCTTCCAAGTTAGAAATATATCTCATAAATTGGACATGTATTAAAGGTCCTATAAATGTTGGTATATAGCTCTTAGTTAAATAATATATATATAGATATAAGAGTGAAGCCTTCTTCACTCTTTTTTTTATATATATATATTTTAGTTTTTTTTCAAAAATCCCTAATAATAACTATTTTAATTTTAATATTATATTATTTTTGAGTTAATATCTATTTTTTTAAATGATACAAGTATATTGATCCTTTGGTCCCTTGTAATTCATGTCCTTAATAGTTGTCCATGCTATTCTAGTTCTTTTTATTGTTGCATCTTTCAATTCTATATTCCCTTATCAACTTTGAATCATGATCTATGTATCTTGTCCTACCAACATTTAATTTTTTTCATCATTTTTATAAGAGTTGATAAAATTTGCCCACATTCTATTATTCAATATGAATTTTTTTTGTCATGCTTTTTTATTAATTGATAAGTAATTGCTGAATCTTTGAGTTTGCAAAGACTTATTTGCTTTCTATGTAATTTAATCATGGCTAATAATGTGGGAGATAGTGTATATACATATTTTTCTCTCTTTGTTATTTTTCCACTCTTTTATTTTTTTTCATTTAGAAATTGCAAATATCTATTTTTTCTAATCATTTAGATTTACTTGCTTATTAATTGTGTTGATTAGAGCTAGTATTCCTTCATTATTAATTTTTAAATTATTTGTGTATTTTGATTGCAATATTTTACTAATGGGCAATTTTCTTAAATTACAAGGTGCAAGGTGACTACACGGCTTTAAACATATTGAATCAATTCAATAAAATATATTATGATGAATAATTCTAAATTTATGTATTACTCAATTTTATAGACCTTCTAAAAAATACCATTAGAAAATAAATCTAAAGACATAATCAACTAGAACTCATGATCTAAAATTGCCTCATATTAATACCTTTAGATTTTTGGCTATTATGTTTCTTTGAAATAATGTAATCTTTTGGCATAATCTAGTATGTCAAAACACCTACATCAACATAATTGCAACATGGATGAGTTTTGATTCAGCTACAGTGTCATATAGTATTACAACTATTAAGTAAAAAAAAAGAGAAAATATTTTAGAAAATTAACTTTAAAATATAAATAATAGACAAGGAGGTAGTAAAAATAAATAAGTGCTAATATTTCCTACTTGTAGAAGAGACTTATACTCACTTTATAGGGACATAAATAAGTCAAATTAAAATAAATGAGATATATAAATCCATTTGTTCACCTACTATAATATTCACAAATTCTTTAAATATGCAAGTTTTTTTTTTTTTTTTTTTTTTTTTCAAAATCCAAAATAATGGAAAACATCTTTCATTTTAAAAAGCTCTCCTAAATTTAAGATCTATCCAAATAACTCAAAATAATGCTAAAAAAAACCCCTTAAAGCCTCTTATCTAATCCCATTCTTTGGTTAAGAAAAAAATCCCAAAATTGTTGTAGATGCATGGTTTTGTATCTCGGGGTTTGATTTCAACCTTGGTTTGCAAGCAATCCTCTTTGGATATCGATTCTAAATTTATTAAAGTAATTTTTTGCTAAAAATTATTCTTAACTTCTTTAAGCTGCCTATATTAGTTTTTTTTATTTACTTTATTTTGCTTTATTTATGATTATAAAAAATAAAGAGAAACCCATTTTGCAAAGAAGCAATATTAGCACTTATTAGTTTTACTACCTCCTTTAATATTATCTATACTTTTAAGATAATTTGAAATAACTTTTTTAATTAAATTCTTTTAGATTTTTTTTTTCTTTCACTTTATAATTGTGTTACAAAATAACAATATATTGATGGAGCGTGCAATTGACTAAAAAACATCTCTTAGATTGACATCACAAAAACAATTGATCCAAATCCATATTGCTCACTTGGAACAAAAAGAACACTTCTTTACTTCTTTTTCTTTTTTTGTTAGTCACATCTTTGTCCCATATAGCAAATTATAACAATCTTCTAGTTATGACCATGTAGCCACAACTTTGTTCCATGTTAGCCACAACTTTGTTCCATGTTAGCCACATCTTCAATCCATTTAGTACCTTATTAGTCCACAAATCTCCAATTCTCAATATTCTAACTTACTTGAATTCCAATAATTTTTAATCTAGCTGTCCAATAGAGCTCAAATTTTCAAAATATACCTAATACAATTGTACTCACAAATCCAAAAATTTCAAACTTAGATTTGCTACAAATTTTTTAAATATATATATATATATATATATATATATATATATATATATATATTCCACTTTATTTTCATAAAAATAGAGTCACTTGAATCTAATTCTAACTTTGCGTAGTTCTTACAAACTCATTATAAATCCATATTCTTCAAAACTTATGCTCATAGGATCCATCTTAAGTTAGTTCTCTAATCTTGCTCTCCAATCAAACAAAGAATCCTACATCTATCCTAAGCAAGTGATTTTGTACTTTGGGGTTTGGTTTCACCTTGATTCACAATTGGTCCTCCTTGGGTATCAATGCAAGGTCTTATTAAATAATATTTGATGGAAACTATCTTTTATTTTTTTCTAAAGTTGTTCAAAGTATTTTTTTTTTTTTTTTTTTTTTTGCTAATCTATCTTATTTTGTATTATTTATGGTCCTACAAAGTAAGTAAAAGTTTTTTAAAACAAAAAGGCAACATAAACAAAAAAAATTATGTTTCTTCCTATCTTATACCTATGATTTTAAAAATAATTTTCTACTATATTTTTAACAAAGCCCTTATAGATTATTAGTCTTTATGTACTCTTTTACCTAATAGTTCTATTAGAATACAATACCATACAAATAAGATCTATGCCCTTTAGGCTATAATTTTTCTTTTAGATCTATGAAAACTCATACATTTTATTGCCTAAAAGGTTTGGAGGAGCTACAACATTGGACTATGGAACAATAACCAACAACATTAGATATCTAGATTATATAAGTACTATTTTCTAATAATTAATAAAAATCAATAAAAGTTAAGTAAATATTAAACATAAAAAATAATGAATTATGCTTGGAAGAATAGAAGCAATTCTCAGAAAAATTATTGATAATTAGAGGTTATTAGTTTTTGGAAGATTAATTATCAAAGAGACAATTGTATTTATAAATTTTATAAAACTTAAGCATTACATCTTTTCAATGAAATATGTCAAATAGTTCAAAATAATCTAACAGTTCATATTAAAATCAATCAAAAAATAAAATAAAAAACAATACAATACAATTTAATTGTATTTGCATAAATCAAACCATCATAATACTTTTACAAAAATATATATATATACAATACAATACAATACAATACAATACAATTTCTAAACTAAATAAGAATCTAAATAAAAATTAAATGAATGTGGATAACAAGGAACAATGCCCTGTAGAACATATGGAGTATGGAATCTCTGAAGAAGATTAAGCTAGCGCTCAGAAGCTAAGAGCCCTTCATGAACCCCGAGAGTTCACTATAAAGCACCTGTTAGGATTCTTACATTATTGGTTATTAGAGGAATGACCAATGACACAAGAAAAAAATATAGAAAATACGATCCAACACGCCAACCCATTTTGCTAAAGCACTTGAATCCCAACATTCCAAAAAATACGTAGGCATCAAATGAGCAGGGCTTTTTGAATATCTTCGAAGACCTAGATCGCATGAACCTACTAAGCTACTTCAACTAACAGAACAGATGGTAAGAAACATGTTGGCAGCTTCAACTTTATGACGTGAGCTGGAATGTAACAAATACGATCCGCTCAAATTGTATGACCCAGGCGTGTTGAATATAAACAAAGTGAATATACGACTGGCCAGCCCGAGGAGAGCCAGAACAATGACTCGCTTCTGATGCTCTACAATGCTGAACAAAAAATCGCTCGTCGGAATACCTACCGGCTGCAGATGAAGTTTTAACTATCCGCCATGCTTGGAAGTCACTATGGACGGAACAGGCAGGCAGCAGGGACATCTAAAACCATCGCTATCTTGAATTTCATTTCATTTTTTTTTTCTTCTTAGAAGGTGGAGGCAGAGGCAACTCTGGCAATTTCTTTTTCTTTGCCTTAAAACCTTTGTTGGGTTGGATGGCTTCCTTCTCACCTCCTGGAGCCTTTACCCTCTCATACGTAATAGATGAATCCAACGCAAAGAGCCTCAAGGCCAATGAAGACATGGAGGAAGACCGGGCAGCTGCTGTAAAAGATGACCAATAACCCCAGTTTGGCTTCAAACAATCCGCCTTCACCATAAGTTCCAGAAGGATAATGGCTTTCGTCACCTGCTAATTCAACACATCTGTTAACCAACAGCTTAAATAAAGTAAAATATAAGCACACTTCGTGCAGAAACAGGACGAGGTACCTGCAAATTCCCTAGTCAATAGATAACCATACATAATGATTCCCTGCCGATTTGCTACTCTCGGAATAATCAAGATATAGCAGGGTAGGACAGTAATTAAAAAGCGTAAATAACGACGCGTTACCTCATAGATACAAGACGCTGACTTCACAAATGTCCGCCAAGCACGCCGTCTCACTGACGAGGCTCGAGAAGAATCTAGTACGTCATCAGCCATGGCAGCTTCCATATCCAACAAACTAATTTGCAGTCCTTTCAACAAATACTTCTGTTCACCTATTAAAGGGTGCACTGATGCATTCGCTACAAGAAATCTTTTTACTGGCTTTCTCCCACTTGAGGCAACAGCTAAAGGAACAGGAAGTGGTAAAATTGCTCCCTGCTTAGAGCTTGTGCCCACATCCCCTTCCTCGACCTTCACTGTATCTAATGTAGATTTTCCTTGTGCTTCTACCTGGAGATCATCTACACGACCAAGTGTATGGGCTCCATCCGGGATAACCTGCGAAGTGTCTCCACACGAACCTCTATGAGCTTCAGAGCAATCAACTTGGACAATGTCTTCACATGATCCTCTGGCAGCTCCATTACAATCATTATGGAAATCACCACCACACTTTTCTTCGGCAGCTCTAACTGATACAACCTGCACACCGTCAGTGCATCTATTTTCGGCAGAGTCCATAGTATCCCCCTGCACAATCTCTATCTGTTCCTCTGGTAGGGACATCAAATCTAAGGGAAAAGAGCCCACTTCACTGGGACCAGTTGCAGGAAAAACCCCATTCACTTGCTCATGTTTCTCGAGCACCAAATCTAAAGTAACAGAGTCCTCTCCCATAGCAACTGCATGTCGAGAGGAATTGTTGATTAGATTTTCAACTTGCTGTCCATCAAACACCCGATCTAGGGCTTGAGTACCATTGGTTTCACGAACTAAATGCATATTCAAATCTCCGTGCTGTAGCTTGTTCAACATCAAATCAAAAGATGGAGGTGATGAACGATCTCCAAAAGCCCTCATATGATGCATTTGAACTGGCCTCTCATTTCCTTGAGATGAGGGCAAGGGAAGATTTATCAGATAATCCCAAGTCGAACTTCGCCGTGCAGTAGGTTTGGTAGGGATAATTGGAGGGCGCTCTGACGTCGACGGCTCTGGAGGAATTTGAGAATCAAACCATGTATTGGAGTTGAACCTTCCTACTTCAAACTTCTTGGCTTCTGGGTCCACAACATTGTTGCTAAGAGGAAAGTGGCTGGATGATGAGGCAAGAGGGCTGGTAGCATTCAAGCTGGTACACAAAGAAGGATTACGATTGGCACTCATGCCAACGTGTTCTGGGACAGAGAGGTTCGAATTTGAGTTTAAATTAGGGAACAAAGAACTAGAATTAATATTCAAGCCAGTAAGACGTGAAGAATGGTTTAGATTAGAGTTCAAGTTAGTGTGCACAGGAATATTAGAATGGGTCAAATCTGCGTGATGTGAGTCAGGCTGGTTAAAACTGGGGTTTGAATTCAAATAAGGTGTACTAGATGGATTTAGGGAAATTATATTGGAAAAAGAGGAAGTTGAGGGGTTGGTTGCACTGGGACTTATATTCTCGAGTAGAGGAATATACTGAGAGTACAGTAAAGGTTGTGGGTTTCTACTGTCACGAGAATGGAGAAGGTTAGTGTAGGACAACGGGATACTATTCATATTTTCTGGATCAGGCAAGAAGTTAGAATGTGATGAATTTGAGGTATTCAAAGTATCAGAACAAGACAGCAATTGCTGAAAGCTTGATTGCTGAGGGTTCGTATGATCTGAGGGGGCAAGGTACTGATTGTAAGGCACAGACTGAAGGTTTGCGTCATTTGAAGAGAGCGGAAAGTTACTATTTAGAACAGATGCTTGGCTCAGAACGTTGCGAGGAGGCCTAAACTGTTGATACTGGGAGGCCACAGGGTTTGAAGGTTCTAGAGAACTAAAACCTGCAATAGATGGATAGTCAGGAGAAGATGACATCACATGTGAGGCGTCAAAAGCAAGAGGGCTTTGCACAGAGAGTGTAAAAGATGAATCTCGGCCTGAAAAACCGATCTGGCTCGTCCTCTCTCTACCGGACTGAGTAGAAATCATTGCTGGAGCTGGAGGATGATACCCAAATGAAGAAGCATCTTCTCTCAAGGGTTGCGTAGCAACGTTCAGATCATTCGCCCATCCACCGCTATTGCCACGACTACCTTGAGCACTGTTTGAGCATTTCAACTTGTTGGCATCCAGCACATGGTTGCTGAAGCTATGGCTAGAAACGTTCAAGCCATTCATCCATCCACCGTTACTACCTTGACAATTCTGTGCAAGAATTGAGCAATTTGACTGAGGCAGGTACAATTTTGCGTCTCTGAACTGTTGGTCGGAGATGTTGAAGTCGTTCGCCCAACCACTGATGCTCCCTTCATTGCCCTGAGGGTTATTTGAGCGATTGTCCTGACCATTCTGTAGATTGTTTGAGTGATTCAGATTCAATTGATTAGCACTCAAAACCTCAGGCTCGGGCAACTGAACAGCATCCGAAACCTGCTCTCTCCTAAAATCAAACTTTGCAGCCGATGTATTAGTTTCAAAATCATCTACAGTAAAAGTCGTTTCAAAAGTGGCAACTTCTTCTCTTGACTCCGGTGTAGGCTCCACGAGTTGCCCATGTGCTTGGGACAAAATCGCCAAGGAAGAGGTATCTACTAACTCTTCCAAAGCTTTCAAAAGACCCGTTGAAGGAGTGTACTTAGTAAGCTCCTGCGCCTCAGGAGTTGCTATCTTCTGAGTCTGCGAATTCTCAACATACTCAGTTAGGGACCTCATTGATTCAGCAGGTTCCATATCCACATCATCATCGACAATTGGTCGAGAACTCCCTCTCTTCAGACCTCTCCTAACTCTCTCACTTCTAGTTGCATTCCCAAACTTGGCAAAGGTTTGGGACAAGTCTGATGATTTATCAAAAGATGCCAACTTTTTTGTTTTCACTGCAACTTTGCTACTATCATGAGTGATTTTCTTGGCCTTTGCAGGTATTTGTGGCTGAGTGTCTTTGGACCCAATTTCTGCGCTAGGCTTACTTCCAAGAGGGCAATTATTTGAGTGAGTCTGGAATTCGGCTAGTGATTCGTATGTTTCATGACACTTCAGACAATGATGTCGAGAAGTCCACAGCAGCTCAAGGCAATCACATCGCCTCAGCACCCTGACATGCTTGTCCATAACCTCTTTTTGGTTGTGAGGGTCATTCTCGTCCGACACATCATCGCTGCGAGAAGCATTTGATTGGGAATATCTTTTCTGCAGCAACCTTGTTGCTTTTGCTGCGGGAAAACTCCAGATGTTACTGTTTTCTTCCATTTCTTCTGAGAGAGGCGATTCCTTAATAGTCCCAGGCTTATTGATGACGTTGTTTGGCTCCGTCATGGTATCAGCATGGCCATTACTAGGTGCAGTTGTGATTGCAGGCGTGTCCCAAAGATGCCTCGAGTACAAGGATCTTCGCCAATGATAGATGGCTATCCTAAGTACTCGTTCATGCTGATCTCTAGGACTTAGCCACTTGACCAGCTCATCTAAAGCTTTGTCACCTTTATAATAAATCCACTTGATTCCTTCCTGCACTGTCTTCACTTCTGGATCATCCTGCAGCTTATCCTCTGTGGAGACGTGCACACAAAGGTCCCACACATGATATACAGAAAATCAGAATAAAGACTAGAAGTAGACAGAAAAGGAACCTCAACAGACATAAGCATTGAAGACGAATACAAAAATGTTTATTGAACCCAACGCAGAGATAGAATAGCTTTAGTAGCGTTCAAATGTGTGGCCTAAGAAAGGTACTAATCCTATTAATCCAGAATAACTCAAATGAAAATTAAAGAAGTAAACAGTATTAAACTGATATTTACAACACAGTCAACAAGAAAGCCAGGAGGCAACGCACATCAGACTGAGTGCAGTAGTATACTGCTAGATCAAAGGGCTCACCTCAACATGAGGAAGAGAAAGCAATGGTAGACCAAATGCATCAGATACCAATGTGTTCTTTCCTAGACTCTACATCTTACTACAGTGAAGTGCAGTTCTTGAAAAAAATTCGACAAAAGACTAAAACTGCACAACATACCAGATGGAGCTTTAGATGCCGATAGAAGTGTTGAAGAAGGGATACGGACTCCAAGGCCCTGAAGTTGTACCGTTTGACAGACAGGATCAAGATTAGTGACTTTGCCAACCTGGCCTTGAGGAGTAGAGGTCAAATCAGCAACAACTAACCAAGGTTTCCCATCGTTACCGGTCAGGGCCCAATACTCTCTCCCAAGATAATCTGAGCCCATGTGCTCTCTTCTCAAAGTGAGATTAAAAAGCTTAGCTCCCAATTTTGTGATTTTCAAATCCAGATCTCTAGCACTTTGTAATGCCTTAATCCGGACATTTCTATCATCTAGAACCTTTAAAGCAGCAGTCTGGGTATCTGACGATTCCTCGGCTGATCCATTTGTTTCAGCAACATTCACACTAAGAGGAGAGATTTGAATTGCATTGTCTTCTTTCTTAGCCATTTTCACATTCTTGGGGCCACTCACACTTGCGCTTGAAAGAACAGACGCTGTCGTCTCAAAACTCCTTTTCAAAAGATTCAGAGGTCTGGGAGCTGCGTCAGGCTGAATAGAGATATCACCTTCTATACCCTCACCAACAATGGCCGCATGAAGATAGCCGCTCTCGCTTTCACGTGACTTATGACCCTGCTCTGACGCACTCTGTGTGTTACGGTCTAATCGTAAATGATCATGTTCAGGTTCCTTTCCAGCTGTAACATTAAGGTCCAGATAATGCACTACCTTATCAACTTCCACGTTGATTTCTTGTGTATTCGTTTCAGATCTGTTATCCCCAACCAATACAATACCAATGCCACTAGAAGGCGCTAAAGATGAAAATGTAGCGGCAGTTGAGGCTTCAGCTCTTTCTAATGCATGCAATTCAGGTTTAGGAGCTTGTGCAACTGCCTCTGCTCCATCTTTGAGCTGTGTTGTACCTAGGCTTGGCCCTGATAGGGAATTCGTTTGAGGCTTGTGTAGAGTCTCAATATCAGTTTTTTTTGGATGGTTTATGACGTCCATAGGAATTACTATTTTCAAGCGCTCTGCAACCAGATCTCGGAGCTGATGTTGCAATTCTAGGGCAACTTCTACGCTCTTCTCAAGGTGAGCACGAGCTTGAGGTGTCTTTAGAGCTTCATCGCAAAGGAACTTCAACAGAAATAATTTCTGAAATGACATAAATAACATATTTATAGCATCAGTATCCATATTCAGTTGAAAATATGTAGTTTTACCTATACACAAAAGTGAAGTGCTTCATAGATTCAAATAAACAGAACTAGATAATAAAGTATAAAAGGACACTTCAAACACAATTCATAACTTTGACTGGTCCATGGTTTTTAGATAAGACTACCAATGAACTTAAACATCCCAACATTAGGATGAACCTACATTATCACTCAAATATTGTCAAGTTATTACAATGTGCAAAATGCAGTCCAATCATAATATAACAGTCCAGCTTGGATGGAATTTCCAGAGCTGCAACTTAAGAACACCAAGTGTGATGCTAGAACAAGATAGAGCGCCAAGATAAGTATGTACTTACATCTGGGAGACTCAATTGCCAATATTCTTTTTCTTCCAACTCTTTGAGCAATCCTTGTACAGTGCTTTCCATGGCAGGAGATTGAGTATCAGGTTCTTCACTCAGGATATTATCCTCCGGATCTGTTTCCGATTTAGTCCCCGACCTAAGCACTCCTCCCGTCCTTCCCGCCTCGGGCTTGCTTTCTAAAACAGGATGCACATTTACATCCTCGTACTCCAATTTCAGTATGCTGCCTGCCACAGGCCTCTCCATTTCTTCTTGTGATGCCGCCAATTCAGCCTCTCCACGAGAAGATGTCTCTGGAAAGCCTTCTTCGACAGCCACACAAGATGGGCAAAACCAGTTACCTTTAGGAACTCTCTCGAGTGGAGGAACCAAACAGTATATGTGATATTCTGCATCACAACCATCACAGAGGAGTATGCTGTCATAGTCCTCATCTACGCCACACGCCCGACAAGTACTATCATCCTCTAAGGGTGCCTTTCCAAGCTTGTCGTCAACGGCATTTCCAGAACCTTTTGTGTTTGGTTTACTATTTGACTTTCTTACTGAATCATCAACTTTTGTATGCACAATACTGGCCTTTTCTTTCTCCTTGTCTTCATTTTCTGCCAAACCCTTGATTAGGCTTATCACCTGCCATAATGTTATCACAACCAATCAGTATCTGAAATCAAGAATCAAAATTTCGGAAATAAGACCACAAACATGTCTGATGACCACACAGTATAATTTTGGAGCAGTAAGATAAGATTTGAACAAGATAGAAGGTAAGAGTAGGAAATGTTTACAGACAACTCAATCAACAAAATTTCCATTCAACAGTTTGAAAAACACAACGACGCAAAAAACGTTGATAAAAAGACGTATCCAACAGGACTCTCTAACATACCAGTGTTCCAATAAATCGGAACGAAGTGCCTAGAAGGCGGTGCCAATAGAAAATGAGAAAACATATTCCACAAGTAATTTTCAAAGACATGTTTCTAGTAAAGAGAGGAACGGGCAACACGAAGCTGATTCAGGAAAAAAAACAAAACAAAAAACAAAAAAAAAAAAAAAAAAAAAAAAAAAAAAAAGAGCTTGAAAATTCATCCGACTCAGACGAGATAACTCTAATGATCGAACAGAATGATTAGGAAAGATAGAAGCCCAACAAGAAAAAAATATATATCTCGAACATACATAAACAAATAATGTCGCCAAGAAGGGCAAGGTTCTAGGAGCACTCGCAAGAAAAAGTAGGTTCCTATGAAAGGTACAGCTTTACAAACAACAAAAATTCATGAGAGCGTACCTGCTTTTGATACAGCTTTTCAAATAACTGAGACAAATGATTGGCTAGTTCCAGTATTGCGCTGCCACTTTTATGCACCGCTTCTACATTCTTCCAAATCTGAGGCAATCCGTCAAGAGTAACGCGTGTGAAGGAACGATTTATCATGATATTACACAGCCACTTTGCGAGTTTAATCGAAATTGGATATAACTAGGGCAGAAAGTAAGCCAGCGATTAGATACACTACGCACCTGCACGTAAATAAATGTATAAAAATTTTAAAATTTAAGAAAAAATTAAAATTAAAAATCGTCCTTGTAAAACTAATAACGAAACCAGAGGCATGGATGAACCTGTCGCATATCAGAAGCAAATGCATCCGTTGATCCTCCATACGCTCCCGCAGCAAGGCGCGCATCAATGGTTCGAAAGTCAAAAGGCCGTGCCAATAATACTGTACTCTTACTAGACTTGACAGGAAAAGCACCACCCACCAGATTATTAAAGACCTGTTTGCTATCAGCTTTTGACACTTCACGTAAAACAATTCTACACCGCTGCATCAGGTGTTCCGCAGATGGAGCAGCTTTCACCTTCCGAATACGAGGAGCATTAATAGCCTTCAACTCCTCACCATGATACTGTGCTAAGACCTCCAAAACAGCTCTCTGCAAGCAACACGTTCTGTATTACTCCAGAGACACTTCACAATACATTGCATAAACCGCATGGGTAATAATAAAACTAAGGGGTTCGGACCCTCTGTACAGAACTACTTTTAAGCCTAAGCTTTGCAAGGTTGTTGACAAAGGAAACACAACTTGTCACAAGGAAAAAAATCAATATAGCATTCTAAGCGAGAGCGAGAATAAGAGTAAACAAAGGCGGAGGACGACGAAGAAAATTGAGTATGATACAAGCCTCTCTTTCTGTCATGATTAGTTGCATTGTCTAACTCCCACAATCATGAAACAGTAGGACATTGCAATTACCTTAGTAGTGCCAGCGGCATTGCTTTTAAAAGTGCCCTTACTAAGTGACCACTCCAGCGTGGCTTTAGCCCAGTCAGGGGGGTTACAATCCAATGCTCCCTGAACTTGAATCTTGAGTTTTGTACCCAGATTAGTTGGCATTTTGCGTACAGGCTCTAATGCCTCCACCCACTTTGGTAGAGGGTCAAGTTCCCCAGTTTTTCCACCCTCGGCCCTTCTGGGGGCCGGATTAATAGGCGTCAATGCAACATCCCATTCTTGAGGAACAAAAATCACTATATCTTTCTCAACTGTTTTTGGCACTCTAAGTGTTAGCTCTTTCTCTGCCTCTGCTAATACCTGCAATGAAAACACAGTTTTACTTCAGTTAAACACCAACATTGACACCTAGCAACACAACATCTTACATTCTCATGTGCCAGCATCATCAGTGAAACAACGATATTTCACCTCGCACAAGAAAACTTAAGCAAAATATACATCAAACCCACGTAGCGTTCGTCAATAACAAGAGATTTTATTACATATGAAGCCCATGAACCAAAAAGATGTTCTCATTTTTCTATCCATTGCAGAGCTGTAAACAATATTGGATCGATTCATAAAATTATGATAGTTAAGTAGCCATAAGAAATGCTTTTAAGGTCGGGTCTAGGGATGAGCAATGTCGATAATCTACGATGTATTAGCATTGGCACAACATTCAGAAAAGCAGTATTAATCGCAATAGGCCATACCTTATGAATTGATACGAATTGCAACCATGACCAAATATAAACTCGCTTCATGCTGAGAAACCAAAACAAGAACACAAGAAATAAAGTTGTGATTAATGCTGACCTGGGCATCGCTTTCAACTCCCACAATTCCCTCAACAGCACCACCCATCACACCACCATCTCCTTCAAAGTACCTCACGAGCTTTTTGCGCTCTTCCGGTGCTAACTCTGTTATTTCACCCTGCTCTTTCACCTCTAAAATGGCAACAAGATATCTATGAGCAACTTCTGGCCATGTAACAGCATTCATGGGAAGATCGTCACTAAATTCAGGAGGCAGAAGTCCTAAATCACAAACACGCTTTCTTCCTCTCTTTTTAGGTTCATCCACCTCATCCTCATTTAGACCTCTTGAAATTCGGAACTTTAGATCAGACACAAGAAATTTCAACAAGGGAATGTGTGCTTCTGCAAGAAGTGCAAGAGCCCTGCTCACTGTTTGTTCATAAAACTCAACTCCATTCTTAACTTCGTTTGGTTCTCCATCAGATGCATCCAGGCCCTCCGACTTATTGCCCAAACGTTTCAGATCCTCAGAGAATTCCTTTTCCCCTTCAGCATCTTCCAAGCATGAACTGAGGGAACTTTTTATCCCAGTCTGAGCCACCGTTGCGGCATTCAAATCTTGCCCAAGATCAGAATTTTCACTCTCCTGCCTCCTATCTGCTGCAACAATACACTTGTCCGACACCCTGTCACCTCCCATTGGATCTCTTTCCAGTGGTTCGTCAAGATCAATCACATTTCTCTCTCCTTCCTGTCCTAGTCTCACGCTTTGCTCAGGAGAATCCCCCACAGTGCTAACCATCTCATTCTTACAACATTTTTTAGACCAATCCTTGTCTTTACCCGTGACTTCAACACTTCTGACAGGTACCACATCTAATAGCCCTGCTTCCAAGTCCTCAAGGGTGAAGTGTACGTCTTGCCCAAATAAGTCTGAGAATCGACACAAGAACTCCCACACCTGGCGCCATTATATCACACAAATGCGATGTGTAAAAAGAAGTGCTTGACCCCATTCGCCTACACGATTCAAAACAAAAAGCACAAGACTGCAGTGGTACCACTTCAACTTATACTACATACATTGCGAGTGACACGGAGATACACACAATCGATACACACGTATTCATTAATTGGGTTGTAGAGCGGCATGCAAACCTGAAGTAAATCTCCAACCAACTCTGAAGGCAACCTCTTCAAAATAGGTTGCCCAGCTGGAGGTGGTAGACGAGGCTCTTCAACTGTAATTACAGGATGAGGCACTTGTGGAGCTGTCGTTGAGGGTTCAGTTGCTTGCCCTGACCCGATAGCCGGAGTTAAAGGAGGTACAAGTGCTGGCGCAACAACAGGTGGAAAATTTCTAAAAACCGCATTCTCAACTCCAGTTTGTTCCTCTGATGCCAACTGGAGTAGAGGTGGGACTGCCGGTTCAGCACATGATCGCTTCATTTTTTTCACACTCTCTTCAGCTGCATTGTTAACATAGAAGTGCAACAGATAAAACATTGAGAGTTCAGATTCAGATGTTTGATTAGACTATCATTAATATCCTAAATTCTACATAGATAGTATCCCTCTAAAACTTTTAGAAGTTCGAAGGAGGTCAGTGAAGATTGAACCACTGAAGATTGTTGATGAAATCAGTAAGCCATGAGCATCGGACCATATGTGCCCAAAAGTAATTAACGTACTCACACATTTGAGAGAATTGTAACACGAAAACACTAAACACGTTCCAAGCAAATTGCAACCGAGATCATTAATCTGAACACAAAAGTAAGTAATACATTACGACACAGCAACACCCAAAGAAGCATGATAGTTCAAGCAGACCAGAATTTTTATACGAGGAAGACTCTTCTACAGCTTTTCGTATGATACTAGCACATTAAGATACTACCAGTCGATTGCATTCACAAACACATTAGCAGAATATATAACCAGCGAAAATGGTGAAAAATAATCATTTAGCGCTCAGACATACCTGTTAAATCAGTTCTTTTAACTCTCTTCTTCCTTTTCCAAGGATCAGATGAGTTCACTGCAACCTGTTTGGCATGAGATGGTGAAGGCAACGCTGCAGTACGTGCAACTTCAACAATCTGATCAACTTCCTTTACCCATGTTTTGTTATGACCTGAGAGCTTTCCAATGTGAAGAGCCTTGATCATGTTCTGCACCGTTGGTAAGTTCAGCCCGGAATGATTCTCCCCTAATCTCTTCTCCAGCCTTTCATAAAACACGGTATTTGTAGTCTCCTCATTGTCAGTGCATTTCTGGCTCAACAAAGCTGGACTTGAAACATCAATGCTTTCGTTCCCAAGATTGGAAGTGCCTGAGTTGGAAGTCATGTAGCCATTGATAGTGTCTATGTTATGAATTGAGGAACTAACCTCAGACTCCAAAAAATTCTTGTAATGCTCGACAAATTTCTTACCGAACGATTTCCATGCTTCTCCTGGCGTCCGAGCTTCCACAGTGATTTCATTCATCGGGAGGTAAGGCAGAGGTTTGATGTGCGGTGGTACAAATCTCGACACTTTTTCTATGCCTTCTTCTACAGAGGCTGGCCTTTTGTCTGTAAAAACTATAGCTGAAGACTTCTCATCCTCTTCACCAGACAAATTAAGAACAACAAGGGTTGGCTTTGAGTGGTGACTGTCTACTTTCAAACTTTCTAAGGCACCTACGTCTTTACCTGTTTCTGCGAGGTTGAAGTCACCCTTCACATCTAAAGTAGACACACTTACATCCAATGAATTATCCGAACCAAGTTTTACAGGAAGTTCCTTCTCCTCTATGGGATCAATGACAACTTCACCAACAGATTGACTGGCCACATTATGGTTCGTTGACGAAGCATGTGAAGCATCACCGTTTATGATTCTGCTTCCACCTTCCTGACACTCCTGAAGTAAAACAATCTCCTCTTTCTCATTACATGGTTTGTCGTCTTCGCCAAGCTCGTAAGTGTGCTTAATGAGTTCTCCACGGCCATCTCCCGAGTGCCGTTTTTGAGCATCGATTTGAATGCCTTCTGCAGACACTTTGAATACGCCACCATCTACAATCCTACCACTCACTCCTGATGTGCTCTTGGGCGGACTTGATTTCTCCTCAGCAATCTTCATTTTCGCAGGTTCACCAGGAATACCACTAATGTCCAGTACAAATTTCTCTAACCTTGAAGATGCAAAAAAACTACTGTTGCTGTCAGCAGCACCTTTCGCGAGCTTTCTAGTGACCCGAAAAATGGGTCCCAATACTCCACCATCCTCTATTTCACTTATACAATATGACCCAGTCTCAGAATCATGCCACGACGACCGAAATCCGACAGGCCAAATGTGATACTCGTCAGAATATGTCGGCCGAGAGTCGATTACACCCAGCTTTTCAATCATCACATCTCCACAGAACATGGGTAGATTTGCCTGCAAGTATAAACAAGTCATCAACCAATTGTCATTTTACCACAACCAACCTTTGAAAACTGGAAAGAGGTCAGCTGAAACGTTAACTTCAGACCTAATTCTGTAGCAAATTATTACAACATTTGCGAACGTTCCTACAGGTGATGAGAATTTGAGCCTATGTGTACTGGAAAGCTTGAACACGAAAACACGTGGGTAAATTACAAACCAAACTAGAGGATGATATTAACATGATGACTAGAGTCACAATATTATCAGATGGAATTCCTAGTCCATAGAAGGCTACAGCTCTTGAACAAAATATATAGATATGTAAAAGCGTTGATACAGTACACTAGTAGGTGCAAGTAACGAACATAGAAAACAGCAATTTGAAACCCTGTATAACAAACAACAGCACAACACCACTCTAATAAAGAATACTACAAAATGCAAACATACTGAAAGAAAACTTCAAACGCATGTGCACAAACCACTTCAGAGGCTTGAATTGATGGTAAGTTGATTTCTTGCTTGTCCACGAGCTTATCTAATGATGTCCCAAGGTTACTGGGTTTTGTTCTCTGACACTTGGGATCATCCACGAGCCCAAGGAACCGAGCCACATCTTGTCTAGACCTGTATTTCCGCTTAGCCGGAGAGAGATAAAATTTCTCTTGCGCACCCGTGGGTCTCTTTCTTAAAACAACTTTCCAACCTTCTGCAAGGTTTCCTTTGAGAGCAGCTATGAAAGTTCGCAACTGATTCAGAGACTCTTTTGCTTCTTTCAGAAGTTCCTCTCTTTCTGTTAAACGTTCTCCAACCGCCAAAGGCCTGAGTGTCTCGGAAGAGGAAATCTCTATTCCAACAGCTCCACTTGCTGGAGCTGCTTTCTGCTGCACGCCGGTTTGATTTGGGGCATAAGACAAATTTAAACGGCCTAAGATATTTGGCTCAGATGAAGCAATATGCTGATTTGTAACCAAGGTCTTCGGATACTGAGAACTACCTGGAGCAACTTCAAATTGCGCTTTCATAGCTGTTGGACCTGTTGAATCATTATTTGTCGTATACAGGAGTTTCGATGGAGTTCCATGTGGGGATATGCACTCTGTGTGAAAAACAGGTGGTGTACAACTCACAGGATACTCAGTCAGAGGCAAAACGGTCCTTGATTGATGACTAGCTATAATGGGAGCATGTGGAGTTATCAACGTCCTGACAGCAGTTGCATCTTGAGAGACAATGGAACTCACAATTGGAGCAACAGAGTTGAACACTGAGATGGGATGCGTCTGTACAAATCCAGGATAACCAAGCATCCTGCGAACGACAGCATCTTAGATTAAACATCATAGTCTATCTGTAACAGTCCATTGCACCAGATACTCAACATCTGAACTCTTGAACAAGCGAAAGTAATTCTTCACAGCAATCGTAATATCTAATCTACTGCAAACCTAGTATGCAATCTTGAAAACATGGTCATCACATTCACAAACTAATAAAAACAGATGAATCATTGATACTTACTTTGATTGTGATTGAGTTTCTCCTGATACTGGCATACCAGCCGTTGTTCCAAATTCTTTTGTATGCATGGGCGTGCCAGGGTCTGCCTTTGAGGCGACTGGTGGACTGGCGGTAATGGCCACGCTTACTCTAGAATTACCCTTTCGGGCTTCTTTCTTGAAATCTCTGATTACTTTCACTTTTGGAACACTTTCAAATCCGTCGGACTTCTCATGTGTCCGTGTACCTACGCCTTGTGAGAAGGTACCAAAGCTCGATTCCACCTTTTGCAATGTCGTCAAAAAATTCGAGGAATATTTTTTGTACTCGGCGACTGCATTATCATAACTTATCAAAACCTTGCCCAAGGGCCAGTAGTGACCAGGTTGTAGACCACAGGGTCCACAGTGCCACACATCAAGTTCCTGAGCGGGCTTTGGCCAATTCTTCACACAATCCACATGAAACCCCCTCTCACACTTGTCACAAAATATAGTGGACTTCGAGCTTTCCGGCTTATTACAACATTGGCATAATCTACCACTTTCAGGCCCTGCTACTCCAGGAAAGGGAGCTGCATACCCAATAATTTCCTTCATTTTCCAATGAATACCCATTACAGCATCTATCGCCTCCATCCTATCTTGCTCTTCGCGTTCTTTCTTCAGTATCCCTATTCAGCTCACCACCAGAGCCACAGTATCTGAGAGAATGTACCTTGTGGAATGACAACAACAGTTCATTCATCGTCTTTGTTTCGCAACATTCACATCCACTTTGATTTTGAGCAAAGACAAAAACATGCAAGCATGCATCTTCATGTTTTTCAAATATATGATGAAATACGGTGAGACCAACAATCTCTAATTGTAGGTTATGCCTACTACAAAATTGAGGCAACAGATTAAAAAAACACATACCATAAAATAAGTGCAAAACAAAGCAGACGGCTCCCAACATACAAGATCCTACGCAAAACTACCTTCCTTCACTGCATCGGCAACGGATAGTAGAGGCTTTGGCGCAGGGGCTGCTTCTCCTTTCGACAATCCACCCTTCCTTGCCAATTGACGCATTGGGACTTCCGACTAATGAGAAACACCCGATATATTGTTAGCAACCAGATTTCATCATGATGAACATTACAAGGCTAACCTTCGGAACGCTGGTTTTGGCATATCTCCAGGAGAAACAGTAACTTCAGACTTGCATCTCGATTTCACGATAAGTGGAGAGATGACGAAATGTAAGTGATTAACCTATCAGGTTCTCAGCTAGAACACTCAGGAACTCAATGTGTTTCCAAAGTTAAAAATTGTCAAGAAAAGGTGATGGAAAGGAAGAAAGACTTAAACGATGCGAAACATAATTTTATGGCAAATATAGATCAAACATTAAAATATAAATTTAACAGAAATATGCAGATTAATGAAGTTGTTTTACACCTAAGCAGTCATAAGTTTTTAGATGCAAGGACATTGATACAAAACGTCACAAAAACTTGGATGATGGTGAAGTTAAATACAGCTAAGTGAAGGAAAATGTGAGATCCTACCAATCAAACTCCCACGAATTTGACATTCCTGCAAGCTCATCTTTTCAGTTAAGTTTTGTGTGACGAATCTTCCCAAGTTTATATTGGAAGCATGTTCTAAATTAACCATGCAAAACACTCCTCAAAAGCGAGAGGTGTAAAGAGTTTGGTGTAAGTCTTCATCAGTTTGAACTTCGCGACATTTCATTATCATTGAAAACTTGGATTCCCCGACTTGTCGTAGAAAGGAAAACTTGCGATTCACACTCAAGCTAGCAAATAAAATTACTAAAAGCTAGGAGTCGGGCTCTTTGCGAAGGATCATCCCTACAATGCTATTCCCATGGCACTTCCCATAAGATTCTCACCTTAGATAGGGTGAAAACCTTGAGCCCATTTCTTCCTTCGTCCTCCTTCTGTGCTTCATTCTCAGTTGAACTCTTTATCGAACTCAGTCCACGCCCTTTCTTTAAGGTTTCATCATGTCTTTGTTCAGGATTCTGGACAGTAGCCGCGACATGATTCCCAATCATACTTGAACTCGCAAGCTTAAATTCCTCGTTAGTGGCCCCCTTTGACACGTGAAGTGCCATTTTTGAGTTGCCATCCGCAGGCGGCACCTTCCCGTATGCTACTGGCTCAACACGTGTTGCTCCAACTGACTGGAATTCTAAGACGCCCAAAATCCCCTGATTCGAAAAGCTATTACCAACTTCTGTACCACCAGAGCTCTCCACTTGAAGAGAGACTTTATGAGCTGAACACCCCCTAGGCAGTGAGGCGTCCATCTCAACTTCACCATCAACAATTGGATAAGTCTTTCACTCTGCTCGCATTTTGATTCAGTGCAAGGAGTCAATTATGGGTTTACGTTCCACAGATTGAAATGTATCGACCGAATCACCATTCCAATGACACCAGTACAACAAAATAACAGTATTCCTGAAAATCAGTCAACAAAAGATGTTTTAAGAAGTAATCAGCCTTCGGATTAACAACAGCCAACAAGCAAGCTAATGATGACGGAATGTGCTTCCCGATAGAACGCACTATCACATATGTGACTAGAAATTGATTTAACAACACCAACATCGGACACGATTTACAAACAGGAACAACATCAATTCAATTCCATGCCAGTAACTCCCAGAGACATGTAATCTAATTTTGAAGCAACACATCTGCAGTTGTAATATCCAGGGTAACATAGCGGCAAGCTCGCCTTCTATTAGAAAACTTAGTCCAAAAAAAAAGAGACGATCGTCACGTCAGAACATGCTCTCACTACTATGTGAGGTGAAATGAAAGTTCTTCGTGCTGAACACATAAACCTACGCAGAGAACCCAATCCTAACAATGCACAAATGCACTTGAGCTATCCATGTTATTAAGTGACATATCCTAAAACCTGTGAAACGCTTAATTAGTGATGCGAATAATGGGAGTCGCTGGCGGGGGGTTGATAGCTATATTGGAATCTAATTGAATAGATCGACAGTCCTCCGAGTTCAACATGAAGACTCTTAAAGAAATTTTCATCCAACGCTTGAGGCGCGTGCTCAAGTCAATATTCTACAATGTAGCAACATCAGAGTTGCTATTTTACTTTTTAGAAAAAAAGAAAAAAAAATCTGTTCCAAAATTTAAGATAGGGAAGCGGCAAAACAAATTACTCTGATCAACCAAACTTGGCATGCAGCATGACCGAACTTGGATTGCTTAACGATAACGCAAAAACACAATACTATTTATGAGCTGAACGGACGAGGCCAGAAAAAACGAAAACGGGTTGAGAATCACTCATTCGATTAGACGGTACGATCGCTCATTTCATTCAAGTCTTTCAAGTAGTCAAATGCGTTTCCTCAAAATTGCTTCATGAGTTGATTCTGAACATGTGTCGCACTCGATACCCCTGCCTTCCAACTCACAAGCCCCCCCCCCCCGTTGTTTGAAGACAGAATCGACAGCCAATCGATTCAAATGTGAGGGCGCTTCTATTGAAAGACGCAGCTAAAGAAGGTGAGTGTCATCAGCCTGATTGTTCATAATGCTATGAAATCCAGCACCTCCCCTTCCGTCGTGGCAGCGCAACTTGAACATCACCTTCTGAACTACACTACAATGGGACATTAATAATTTTAAAGAGAAAAGCCAGTGACCAATTCAGCCACAGCACACTCCCTTGCATGAAGTGATTGCAAAAACCAGAGTTTAAGCCGAAACAGAAACACTAGGGGGAAAAGGTAAAATTACAAACAAGAGGCAAATTCCTCGTGCATGAATCAACCTCAGGAGCTATTTCTCAACCTGAACCTTCACCCCGCACAACATTCACAATACTCCATCCTCCCAACCTAGAATAGAAATTACACTCCAAAAGCATACTCACTAGTCCCAAGCAATTCTGACACCTCAGCCATTTCCACTCTCTCCTCCATGCATCACTCAACACTCGCATTATTCGCAATGCTAAGCCAATACTCCACTTCCATGTCCAACTCGAACACACATTCCAATCCAATCATTCCTCCCACTCTGTAATTGCTCTCCATGCCCTGCTAAACCTCTATCCACTTCATCCCCGCCCCCAAACCCCAAGCACTTCAACATCCAGCGACTACTATTCCAACGCCACGCCAGCAACTCCCAAAGAACTCGCCAAACCCCTTGTGAACTCCGAAACCCTAAGCATCCCCGCAGTTGCATAACAAACCACCATAAGCATGATCATCACTCACCTTAAGGTTAAGCTCTCTCAAACTCTCTCCCGCTTTGTCTCTCTCGCTCTCTCTTTCTCTGTTTCTCAATGAAATGCAAAAAGCGCTATCCACGCAGAACCAGTTCACAATTGCGCCATGGTAGTATTCAAAGGAGTCAAATGAACAGCTACGCAACGTTGCTGAAGAGAATGTTCCGAAGCTCCGGTTCAGCAGCAAAGTTGGATGCGATAATGGGAAGGGAGGATCTCGGTGAGGCACTGCTGCCATGCCTTGAGAATCAGCAGCAAGGGTGAACCAGGAGCAAAAAACTCTCTTCACACAACATTCGACCCCTCCACTCCACTCTACTCCCTCTCCTTAGTAAAGGAATAATTAACCGACAAAATAATAATCACAAACACAAACTGATCCCAATACTGCCATTGTTGCTAACCCTACATCCACATTCACACACACACACAAACAAACTAGATAGGTTTCATCTTTTGCGAAGTGGTTAGATCATTGGATGAAGAGTTCCTCACAACACCATTTCTCACAGGTTTGCTTCACTTTACTTCAACTGGGTAAAATGCTGGGTTGAATTCATTGAAAATATCCATTGAAAGAATAGTAGCTAGCCATGGTTGAATTCAAGGTTTATTTCTTTAATTGAGTTTTGCACAGGTAATGGCATACACTTCCATGATAAAAACACATGGTGGAAATGAAAAGAGAATGTCGATACAGAATGCATGAAAAGCACATAGTAAACAAGCAAAAGCCAATGCTTTCTGATTTAAATTTAAATTGTAGATAATTTGTCCAAAGTTGTTTGTTGTTTAATGAAAATAATAAATTCGGCAATAATGCAAGCAATGATTTTGAAATTATATGAAATTTACATTACGAAAGTTTAATAGAATCATTTTTTTGTGGTTGATGTTGCTAGTTTATGAGACAGTCTAAAATACATTTTGAACCCAAATGCATACATGTACACACACTCACACACACAATAAAATTTTATGTTAATTTTTCAATTGATATGCTGTATTAATTATTGATTTAAAACTAATCATAATACTTTCAAAGTAGTTTTTTCTTGTTCTTAAATTAGCATTGAAATAGCTTTAAATAAATATTCGATATCTGAATTTTTGAACATTATTAAACAGAAATAATTCAATTCAACTATTTTATTTTTATTTTTTAATTTAATATTTGTTATATTTTTATGTTATTACAATATGGTTTTTTAGTATATCAATTTAAAATTTAGAATATTTAAATTCATTATTTCTTTATTTCTTTTTTCTGCTTGCTTTTAGTCTACACAGACAACTCAAATTAACATTGTGGATTCAATTTAGACTTTGACATCATAAAATGCTATTGTAAATAATATTTTAGTTTTTTTTAGTACTAAAGCTAAATAAAATAAAAGTTGAATATTACAAAAGCACAAAAAAAATCTAATTTACACAATCAATTATATATATATATATATATATATATATATATCACTTAATAAAACAAAGATGTCTTTTAAAGAGTTGTTTGATTTCTATTATATTTTTGGATATTCTAGCATATAATTCTCATGGTCTATGCACCTTCTCCATTTTTATTTTGTTGCTGCACATCACTACAATAATAACATCTATAAGAATAGTTAATAAGTAAAATAGCTTACTTATGTCTATTTGCTTGTTTACTAACAATTAATAAAATAAAACATTTTTTGCAAATGTTATTTTCATGAATTCTATATTTTACAAAATTTATAATTATTCATACATTTTAATATCTTCACAATACTCTAACATCTTGTTAGGTAATTATAATACTTAGTGATTTTAAGCGCTATTAAAAGTATAGCACATCCTTTAAATCTATCACAATAGATTACAAAATATCTAAATAATTTTATTAATACATTAATGTTTCATCAATTAAGACAAGTACGAAAAAATTAATATTTATTATTTGTAGCTTGCTAAATGACTGTAATATATTATATTTAAAATATTATGAAAAGAAATTTAAATTGGAAACTTTATATCTATGATTGATCAAAACATCAAAGCTTAGAGAAAATTACCAATTTGTTAGAATCGTATCAGCAACCAATATTAAATTCTATATTATTACCTAACTCATGGTATTTAATCTTGATTGATTTATCTTAAATAGTTTTATGCATTAGTTAATGGGAATTACCGTGAATTCATTATACTTATATTAATCTTATTAAAATTGTACAACCAAGCCAATGTAAAATCACATATTACCACCAATTTTAACAAATCTACTAACCATGCAAGTTGAGGTTAGGAAGTGATCAACTCACTCATTTAAAAAAATGGCACATATGTGGTTGTATGTTTATATATGTTCATACATGTATATATACATGCACATACATGCATATCCATATAATAAAAATCTCTTTAATTTGAATGCAATGTATTACTTTCTATGTATAATATACTTTTCATTTTGAAGAACTTCAAATATCACAAATAAATACTAATATATTACAGCTGACATCTAAAGAATCGTCTCTATTTATTATTAAGATACATATATTTTTTTTTATTAAATATCATAATTTAGAATCAGTAATTTCATTTAAATTTTTACATATTCAAAATCTCTCTTCTATTTAGATTTTTTTTTTTTTTTTTTTTTTTTTTTTTTTTGTGGTAAGAAAGAAAAAAAAATGATAAATTATACACTTAAAAAATAAAAATTATAGCAATTGAAGATATATCTAATAAGTTTTAAGCTATCTTAGGTTTTTAAAATAGATATGATAAAATTATATATATAATTATTTTTTCTAAATATTTAAAATTTCTTATAACTAATTGATATTATAAAATATATATATATATATATATATATATATATATTTCTTTTTGCTTAATTTGACATTGATTAATTCAATTTATCAACATGTTTGGACAAAATTTATTAATTCAACATAAAAAAAACTGTATTAATTTAATATAATCATACATTGAGTTCATCCTAACTAAATCTATACTAAAAAAAAATTGTACATGATTTTTTTATCTTTATATTTATTTTTGGAAATTTGGATTTATTAATTTAATTGAATAAATTTAGATGATGATTCTATTTATTATTATTTTTAGATAGATAGCAAGTATAAGATTTTTAATTTTTAAAGTGTAAATTCTATTCTTATAAAATAATTCATAAAAAAATATTTTAAAATAGTATGTGAATTTATTATATATATATTAAAATGAGTTATCCATTTATTAAATCAACCCACCCTATTACAGCCATCATAAAAAAAAATGGATTACCTCTAATAACCATCATTAGAATAAGGGCCCTCATCTTGACCTCTTTCATTCCAACCCCTTGTTCCTTATGTTCCTAGCCTTCTTTAATCCAATCTCCCTTGTTCTTCTCAATAGGGTAGGTATACATACATACATACATACATATATACACACACACACACACACACATATATATATATATATATAATAAAATATTATTTATTTTAGAACTACAAGATTAACAAATAGTGCACTTTGTGTAGAGTTTTATTATTATTATTATTATTCTATTGAGGCAAAGAATGCTCTATCTACATATCAATATGTAGTTTATAAAGCATTGAAAGAAAACTTTTGTATACAACAAATTATAGAAAATAATTTAAAATATAATTTAATTTAATTTTAGATAGAAATTGTATTATTAAATATTCAAATATTTGGATTAAGTCTAATTTCAAAGATCACTCATTTTTACTTTTAGGTCCATAATTTATTTTCTTTTAAATTAAATAATATAACACAAACGTTTCTTAAAAGAATTTGATTGATTTCATAATAATAAGAAGATATTTCAAAACGACTTAAATAACACTATATTCATCTAAAGAAAATTATAGCATTCAATAAGAAAAATATCATTAAAATTTGAATAATGTATTATGCAAAGAAAAATATTGTCACTATTTCAAGATTTTTTTCTTTAAAAATTAAAGCATGGTATTATCCTTAATAATCATTAGTTTTAATTTTATGTACATTAAAAAAATCTTCATCATGAATTATAATTAATGATTATTAAGGATTAGTATTATGGTATTATCAATATATAATATACATCATATGAATTTTAGATTAGATTTTTAAAATAAATAACTAATGCTGTAACAAATTATATATTCAAAGTAATCAAACAAAATTACTGTCATCATCCCTACAAAACCGTGTTTTTTATTCACAATTCTTTGCAAAGAATTACATGCAAAGAATTACATGTAGCCATGAAATTATCAACACTTGTTCATCCAATAATCAATCCCCCTTCATTTATGTTGTAAACATCAATGTAATCACAAGTTGTAGCACCTACAGCCGTTCATCCATCTACCACTAAAGATATTCATCCAACATTAATCATCGAAGCGTGTAATGAAATTGTGACACGTATTTCCCGGGCAACAGCGGGGAACTGAAAGGGGAAGCTAAAGGGACCCATTCACACGATGGGTCTTCGTCGCGTGTTTTTCTGGACTAGTGGCGCCGAGCTTCGTGTGAGTCCCGGAGAAGCGCTCGGCCATCAGGGTCGATGGCAATCGCCGCATGCTTCTAAGGCATGTATGTTATTGATACGAAGGCAATTCATGATCACACCTACACTGAATTTTGCTTATTACGATCTCTGGAGGATGCCGCATCTCTAGACTCTGGGACTTCTGGGTTCGAGGTTGATACAGAAACACACCGTCGACGTAACTCGTCGTCGGATTTACGTAACTCGTGTGCTCCCACGGTGTCAGCATACGTTGGATATCTGTGCGGCTAGGTTGTGGAGGAATGAATCGGTTGCGCCATCCAGTCGCCTCTTGCGAAGCCGCTCGGCGATGATGAAGGACAGCTCGAGCGCCTGGGAAGCGTTAAGGCGAGGGTCGCAGTGGGTGTGGTACCGGGAGCTTAGATCTTCGTAAGATAGGTTGATGCCGCCACCCACGCACTCCGTCACGTCTTGGCCTGTCATTTCGAGATGGACTCCGCCCGCATGCGTGCCTTCTTGCTCGTGAACGTCGAAGAAGGCTTTTACTTCCTCCTGCATTGGGCCCAGACACCAGCCACAGCGTCCTCAGTGATAGAACACTGGTGTTAGGATATGGTGTTAATTGGTTTCGGGACAGGCTGGATGAGATTTGCTATCTAGATGGAGGAAATTCATGAAGATTGTGTCCTCGAAGGTTCGACAATTACCAGAATGGCATCGAAGGGTCGCGTCTTCGTTCCGGAGCCAGGTGCTTTGATTGTGTTCCCGTGCATGGGATCACTGACCCAGGTCACCATGCATCCAGCCTGCCGCACAGCCCTCACCAACGCGGGCAGCTTCTCACGGAGCTTCGCGGCGCCCATTCGCACAATTACGGTTAGCCTTCCTGGCTTGTTGTCTGGGTTCAGCGTTTCACACAAGGTGACCAAGTCTTCTGGCTTCATCTTGTCACTCACTTTCACTCCCAGAGGGTTAGCCACTCCGCGCAGGAATTCAATGTGAGCACCGTCGAGCTGACGAGTTCGCTCACCAATCCAGAGCATATGGGCGGAACAGTCGTACCATTGCCCAGTTGTTGAGTCGATTCGTGTGAATGCTTGCTCGTATGGAAGGAGGAGGCACTCATGCGATGTGTAGAACTCGGTTGTTGTCATAACGGGATGCTCAGGTGTCAACCCACACGCGGCCATAAAGCCCAGGGCCTCGTCCACTCTGTGAGCGAGCTCCCGGTACTTGTCACCTTGTTCGCTGTTGGCTGCAAAGTCAAGGTTCCATTGAGTGACGCGCTGCATTGCAGCGAAACCGCCGGTAGCAAAAGCACGCAGCAGGTTCAGTGTGGCAGCGGCCTGGTCGTATGCGCGCACCATGAGCGTGGGGTCGGGGACTCGAGCCTCGAGCGTTGGTAGATCGGCGTTGATAATGTCACCTCTATAACTTGGAAGCTCTGTGCCGTTAACCATCTCTGTGTCCTCAGACCGAGGTTTGGCGAATTGTCCTGCCATTCTTCCAACCTGCCGTTTGATGGATAGTATGTTTCAGTTCTTTTGTAAAAGTTGAAGCATGCCAGAAGACAATTGTCAAGATATTACTGATCTGTGTGGGGCATTAATCAAAGTATAAGTGTGCTAAGGCTTTCACAGTTTCAAGTTTCCAGAACAATTGCATTTGATAAGGGTAGTGCAATCTCACCTTCACAACTGGCATTTGGCCTCCGAACATGAGCACTGCCCCCATCTGCAACAAAACCCGGAATGTGTCCCTGATGTTAACTGCATTAAATTCCTTAAAGCTTTCGGCACAATCTCCGCCTTGTAGCAAGAAAGCCTTTCCAAGGGCTGCATCGGCGAGCTTTTCTTCCAAACTCCTGGCCTCACCAGCGAAAACAAGGGGAGGCATGTCTGCGAGTGTCTTCTCGACCTCTGCAAGCCTCTCAAGATCCGGGTAGTTGGGCTGTTGGAGAGCAACCTTATTCCTCCAACTGTTGAGGGACCAATACTTTGCCTGCAAACCTTCTGCAATAACCACACCGCCACCATGTCCCACAAATGAGAAAGATGCAGTAAAGCGGTTCTTACAGACCAGAAAGATGCTTGCGACGACGATTTCCTCATGTCGAGCTTTCTGCGTCAATGAAATGAACTCACCTTTCTTTTCTGTGCTTGAAAATTCTTTCTCGACTTTCTTGACGGCGTTGAAAGGCTCGGCAGAGTGCACGGCTTCGGTGACATTAATGCGGACGCCACGATTGTTCTTGCGTTTCAAATGGGGAGGTCGTAATTGCGCCGGCAACTTGATAGAGATTTGGTCTCCAATGAAAGAACTAATGAAAGGAGGGTTGCTTTCGGTCCGTCGTGCTACAATCAGAGAACCATTCGCTAGAGCCATGATTTCTGCCTGAAGGATGTGCAGCGCAAATGTCAATGAAAACGTGAATTTTTTTCTGCACATATGACAATCATCTGTTAAAATAGTAGATACAAAACCAGCGTAATGCCGAATAACATTGAATCCTTAGTAACTGAGATAAAAACGGAACAAAATCTGCTGGCGTGATTTAGGAGTCAGCTATGACAAGTTGGCACAGGGATTCTGAAAGAGGTGAAGCAGAACTTGCTAAAAAGAATGAGCTCAGTCGGTCGGTCTTCAGATAAACTCCCATGTTACAAGTGCTCATTCAGTGCAACACTCCCAATTTTCGAAACACAATCTAATCCTAATCCTGAAATTCCAATTCACAGAAGCGGAATATGCTTACACTTCCACAGGAGTCGGTGGGCACTTGAAACCGATCCTGAAGTAGATCTGTGTTCAATTTCTAAGTTACAGGCGATTGCACTGGATCTGCCAATGTTGACACAAAATCATCTAATGTTGACACAAAATCTGATCCCGTCTGGTGCAACAACCCACGCAGTTAAGGCTGATCGACAAATACCACAACTGTGAAGGCCAACCGCTTGCCTACCCTGAGATCCCCCTCTCTCAAAGGCGACACCAATTCGACGTGATGAGTGCGAAACATGATTCTCTTCAACACCATGGAGCATCTTTATAGAACTGTAAATAGTGCCTTCAAAGAGTATGACAGAAGTCTGCAGGGAAAAATATCACATATGGCGGCTAGATCGGTCAAGTCGAAATTTCACGTCTTTAGTGCCACATCTTTGGTCAAATTCCTGGCGGTCGAAAAGCTTCTGTTTATTCACGTTGAACATCGAAAGGTTTTGGACAAAGGTATCGGGGTATCAGCTTTTGACGCGATCTGCAGAAGCGCATTACAGTGTGTTGTGAGTCCATATTGATGCTTGCTTTTGGTGTTGTTGCGAAACTGCCCCACAAGTCACTTCAGCTGAATCTGGAAGAATATGCTCAGTCTCTGGTTGATGGAGATACTCCAACTCAGCATTAACGTCACAGCGATTTATTGCGAACTTGTGGGCACCAGCTTAATTTCCAAGGTGAAACCTAATTTTTGCTGAACCGAATAATGTTTTTTTTATTTTTTGTATTTTTTTATAATGTTTATAATGTTTCTATTTTTATTCATTTATTCTTCCGAATTTCGAATTAAAAAATCATTGAAAAATGAGGAACGAAATTGTTTGAGCTTTTAGTGTTTGTTGACACGATTTGTTTGATCGTTTCCAAGTTTTCCTGTAATAGAAACGTATAAGTCTTTAGTAAGATACATACAGCACATAATCGAATTAAATAACATGAGTAATGTGTTGGCTCACACATTTCATGTGTTCGGTTTACTAAGTTTGCGTAACGTGGAGACAACCGCTGGGATTCGGACTCTCTGTTTGGTGCTCAAAAGGAATTTGTGAATTTCTAAGTTACAAGCGATTGCACTGGATCTGCTACCCTCTCCATTCTGCTACGCACCAACTAAGGTGTACTCTCCTGAAAGAGAATCACGTGTGACTTGGGCAAAGTCCAATGGATCTTTCAATATTACAGATGTAATCAAAGCAATGTTTTCATGGCTTACCTGTTCAGTTAGGGAAGATGGATTAATAGCAGACTTGGTGGGTAGTTGTAAAACAAAGCCAAGACACTGTGTCACTGTGGGCAAAATAAAAGTGTGACTGCACCTAATGTCAAAAAATGATGGTCTGGGAGCCCAGTTGAATCCGCTTGCCGGCGTTGCTGCATAACCAGGTTTGCAGTATCATAAGCTTTACATTAGTTTCCTAAAATAGATCAACTGAGAACACTTTAGATATTGCGTTCTAGGTCTACCTTTCAATATGGAAACAGCCTGTATGTAAACGCCTTTCTGATCACGGTCCGTCCGTGCAAAGCATCCAAGAGAGGAATCCTCACACTGTTTTCTGCAGCAAGTTTTCGTGGGCTCTACAATTGGACAATAGCTAATCTCACCAGCTTATAAAACATTTTCCATGCACAAAAATACTTACATGAACAGTCCGCAAGTAGACCAAGAACAGAGAAACAAGGAACGCTCAGAACAGCATTGTTGACCTCGGAGAATTGATTCAATCGAATTTGTTTACAAATTTATTAACTGTCATACAGCTGACTATACACGAGGGACACACAGGAAATCGTTATACACACTTTTCTATATTGCACTGCACCTCTTGAAGTTGGTAAATTTTTATTAGAACTCAACCTTCTGTGCTACCATGTAAAATTGCTGTTCTCATTCATCGTCAGAGCAGAAGTCGCAGCCAGTTTAGCTCATCATTGCCTACAGCCCCTCCAATGAGACTGCCGAGTGCAGAAATCTCTGTACATCACCGAGTGAAGAGATTCCACTCAAATTGTGCCAACATGAATTCTCTTGTGAGGGCAACATGCCAGCCAAATTATGAACAAGTGAGGAAAACTATCGAGCAGACGCTTGTCAGTAGCTGGCCAGTTACTAGGACTTTTTGTCCCTAATGAGAAGTCAATAAAGCTTGGTCATATAGAGTTTCTTTGATGTTTGTTGAGAATGTTTAGAAAGACACAAGAGTAATAGTAAGTCATACACACAAGAGGGTTTTTAAGGAGAGAGAGTTTCACACATAAAAATCTGTTCATCTGGTTGTGTCTCATATACAAAAAGAAAAAAGAGGAGAAGATAAACAATACTTCTCCACTAGACTCTAAATACTGTAGCTATGGTATTTACTATAGTCTATAGTAAATATTATGGAGAGCGCCGGCTACATTTAATGATCTCAACACTCCTCCTCGCTTATCATAATATTTACATAATATAAAATTTGTATAGAATTATGATCTATACTTTTCTGTGATCTTGCAAGATTAACAATTGTTGCCTCATTAAAACCTTATCTAAGAAAACCTTATTTTATTTAAGGACAAAACCATAGATGAAGGAAAAAGAATACAACATCATTTTCTTTAATTATTTAAAGAGCTCATTAACTTTCTTATTCAAGAAGAGCAAGTCGCCGCATACCAATGCCATAAGTAAGTCGACGATGATTGCTTAATGGGAGAGCTTTGGTGAAGAGATCAGCAAGGTTATTTGTAGATTCAATTTTCTTAATTATAAGTGCTTGATTAGTAATCAAGTCATGGGTATAACTAAAATACTTTGGATCAATACGCTTTGTCCTGTTGCCTTTAATAAAATCAACTTGCATCTATGCAATACAAGCACTATTATCTTCATGCAAGATAGTTGGAGAATCATCATATGAAAATCCATAGGTTGTTTGAATGAATTTATTAATTAATCGCAACCAAATACATTTTCAAGATGCTTCATGTATGACAATAATTTCTGCATGGTTGGATGAAGTTGCAGTTGTTTTTTGTTTCTTTGATTTTCATGATATTGCAGCTCCATGTCTTAAGAATACATATCCTGTTTGAGATTTAGCTGTTGCAATATTAGATTTATATCCTGCATTACAATATCCAATCAATTTTGGATCTGTAGATTGTGTGTAGTATAATCCCAAGTCTTCAGTATCTTTTAAATAACGTAATAAATATTTGATGCCATTCCAATATTGTAGTATTGGACGTGCACTATGTCTTGTAAGAACGCTAACTACAAATGCAATATCTGGTCTTGTAGATGTAGCTAAATACAAAAGTGCACCAACCATTGTGAGGTATGGATATTGATCTCCCAATATTTCCTCTTCCTCATCGCATGGATAGTATGGATCATGACCATCACGACCACGTCCAACCATTAGTGTGGATAATGGATAAGCATCAATCATATTAAATCTTTGCAAGATTCGTCTAATATACGTTAGTTAGTAGAGAAAAATGCTTCCATCTGTTAAATGCATAATTTGAAGACCAATATAGAAAATTATTTTTCCTAGCATTTTTATCTCAAATTCATATATAAGTAGGTTTGTAGCTGTAACACATGCAGATGTAGTGCCCACTAGATTAAGATCATCAATATATACAGCGATGATCACAATACGAGTTTTATCTCATTTGATAAACAAACAAGGGATTAGTAGATCACTTATAAAATTATTTGTAATTACATAATCTCAAAGATGTTGATACCACATGCGTTCGGATTGTTTTAAACCATACAAGGCCTTACATAATTTAATACCACGATATTTTTCTAGAGCGGGTCGATTTGAAGTTCCTATTTCTAAGCCAGGTAGAACTTTTATATAAATATTTGTATCAAGAGAACTATATAGATATGTAGTTACTACATCCATCAGATGTATCTCAAGGGTGGCATGAACTATCATTCCATTAATATATCGAAATGTAATTGAATCCATGATTGGAGAATATGTAGATTCATAATCAATGCCAAATCATTGAGTAAATCCTTGAGCAACAAGATGAGCTTTATAGCGGTGTCATGTTGTAATACGACTATATAGTGAAAATATAAATGAAAAAGATATTACTAATATTTAGTCATCTTGGATGTTAGAAACAGTGGCCAATTGCAGTGCCAATATTTAGGGTCAGTTAATGTCACTCCACCGACGTCATCGAACCAAATGCCCTCCATACCAACGGGACAACTAAGATCATTCTCCAACCCTACATGGAACAAGCCTAGTAGGTATATACCAGTGGAAACACCCAATATGCATGATGGGGGTGCAGGAAGACCACTTTGTCGTTTTTGTTGCAGACAGGTTGGTCATTATGTCAATGAATGTTTTAATCCCAAAGCCAGTTATGATTATGCACTAGTGTGAAGGAATTGCAAGTAATCGAGGCATACTTATCAACAATATAATGCTCCATCCAATTTCAATAAACGGGATCAGTAGATCCAAAGCCAAGGAAAAATTGAGGAGATAAATCAAGGTTCTCAAGATTCTCCAGTAAATCGAGTGGAATGAATCCGAGCTGTTCTTACCAAGAGTTGAAAAAAGAAAAAAGGACCAATTCAATATTCGGGTGAGTCTGATGTGAAGGGCAAATTTGACCCAATTACGGGGACATCCAATCCAGGTCCTGGTACGGGCCTCTTATCTAGTATGAGACCTGACTTGGTTGGGCAATCCAATGAGGTCCCAAATATGGAGGCTTCGGTTCTATTTCAAGCTGTTCTGTTGACTATGCCGTTTCGGAGAAAACGTCCTTTCGATGGGAAGATCCTCTTAGAGATAGGAATTTCGGAGAAGTGCCATCGGTTGTTCTAATTCGGAGTTCAGGGTGGGAAAAAAGGAGACCACACGGAGTTAAAAAGGAGGAGAGGATAAGGAAAGAAGCATTTGGAAATCAGGATTTTCAAGCTCCTTTGAAAGGTGTAGAATTGGGTTTCATAGAATTTGGAAGAACTTTGGCAATCGTTGCTGAAAGTCAGTGTTTGTATTGGTGAATTGGATTTTTTTTACAATAAAGTAATGGCTAGTATTCTTGACTATTTTGTGAAATTGAAGAATCTTCTATGGTTGAAACTTGGAGGTGTCTAGAGGGTTGAGTATGTCGAGTGCATGCAAAAGTTTGTGTTAATCTGACAAAATAGATAGAGGATATTTGACCATTAGTGTAAAGAGGTATCGGAAGTTAGCAGATTGGGGTTGTTTAGGGTTTCTATAATATCTGGAGATCTATCAATTGGAATAAGGTGGCTTTTGACGTGGTAAGTCGAGGAC